TGCAATGGTAGGGCCAAACCTTCTGAGCAGCGCGCCTGGGATGCCGTCGATACTGGCAGTTGAGGCTCTCGATGCCTTACATGATTGCTGGAAAGAGGCAAGCGTGGGCAAAAAAACATCCTCGTGTGGTATTTCATGCGTGAGGCACTCCGGCAGTGGGGGAAGCTGTGCCTGCAAAGCTCTGGCTTCACTGATTGGCACAACGATGCCTACTTCCTCGTCTGCGAAGTGTCTGAGCCACCTGTCCGCCGCTTCCACCTGTGTGGTAGCCATAGAGCCGTCCTCCAGTTCAACCGTTGGTAGGGCACGTGTTGATAGTCGTTTTTGTGAACCGATGCCCATTTCTCGTAACTTGGCGAAGACAACGTCATACTGGTGTTTGGACCAAGCGCTGGAGACCTCATTTGCTAAATTAGCACAATGGGTTAGGGAGTCGTCCGTAGTGGCCTGTCTGATGAGAGCCGTAGTATGGTGCAGTAGTAGGTCCCGATGAGCCAGTAGACACGCCTTGGTTCCCTGAAGAAAATCCCAGATGCCCAACAGAGGAGGCCATAGGGATCCGTTGGAAGGAATCTTCAGGAGGTCCAAAGGGGGAAGCGTGATGATGGCGCCTATGTCGGAGTACCCGTAGTGAGCCAGGAGCCTGAGGGGTCCCATCCTGTGTTTGGTGCCCTTTCGCTGTCGGATCTCAGCTTGCCTTCGGAGCAGGGAGGCCGTCTCCTGTGGGATAAGCTTTGCTGCAGGCACGAGCTCTGCAACTTCTCGATGCAAAAGGGGCAGCACAGGAAAGCACGCGTTGGCCCTGAGTACGTAGTCGTATCTGGTGTGTCGCCACCTCGGCGCCGCTGCACAGATAACCTGCCAAGCAAAATAGAGAGCATGCAGGCTGGCCTGGTTGACTCTGCGCAGTAGTTTCCGTTGGAGCCTGAGGAAGAGTGACCTCTCCTCTTGCAGCTTCAGCGTGTCGTAACTTATCCAATGCTGCCGTGGTCTTTTGCCCGTTGGCGTGGTGCGTGTCGGGAAAGCTGTTTCGATAGCCATCCTGATGTGGTCGTCACAATCCTTAGTATGGTCGGCAGCATGAACTCCGAAGTCGGGCTGGCGGAATTGCGAGAGCAGGTGGTTGAATAGCTGGGAGGCCACAGGGTCATCATACAGCGCTGGGTCGTGTTGGATCTTGCATGGCCTAGGGGGCTCTGGAGAGAACTCTGAAGGAGGGATTTCGACCTGGGCCGTAACCACCATGTGGTCGGGTTGTGATACCGTAAGGTCGATGTCCCTGTCAATCCCCTGCTGTTGGACCTGAAGCGTAGTAGATAGTGCAACGTAGTCCCGTCTTTTGGCCTGTGTGCGAGCCCCGGGAGCCTGCCACGTGCCCGCGTGCCCTGAGGGGCCCTCAAAGAAAGTAGATGGTGCCCACTGTTGAGTGCTGTGTAGGAAGCGCTTGAAACATTCTCCTGGGAGATTCTGCTCCTCAGGGTGCGCTCCTCCTGTAGTGTGATCCGATACTGATCCTAATGCAGCATTGGCGTCCACCAGCGTGATGAGGTGCTCCGCTCCTCTCTTTTGTTCTCGGCAAAGGTCCTCCAGATCCTTCCACCACTGCTGAATCTCAGTGGGTGGCCGTCTTGAGTGCGGGGCATGGCCAATGCAAACGCATAAGCTGAGAGATGGTGCGCGAATGGCAACTATCATGACTCTTGGCGAAGCATGCGTCACATGACAATTTGATGCTGCAATGCGGCAAACTGGTGCATATTCCTCTCCGTATTGACCCAGAGTGAGCATCCCTCTCCACCCGTCGGTAGAGCCGCGGCGTGTAGTACCAGATAGTCCCCCATATTTGTGACCCCTGTTTTAGGCATGCGTGTCTCGACCGTGCCAACAAACATGTACGGTTTGACCGCAAAGAGAGCGGACAGCTGCATCATGCGACCTGTGATGTTGAGGCCAGCCATCCTTGGGGGCTGTTGGGGTCCCTGCAGGGCTCGAGGATCCATGGTAAGCACGTTGGCCATGGCCACCCAACAGAGAATGGTGTGATTCTTGAGTTTCTTATTGGGGACCTTGTTGGGCCTGGGAATGATCCGCTGGAGGTCCGTGTGGGGCTCCTTGGCGATGGGTATGGTATGGTCGGCAGTAGGGGGAAGCGCGCAACGTACCTCTGGTGAGACATAACACAGCCAAAGCCACGGCATTGCCTTCCTATGAGGCTCTTGTTCCACCAGCGTGCGCCACTGCGGCTCGAAAAAGGTGGGAAGCACTGACATGGCGTAGAATCTAGCGAGTGTGTCAACGCATTCGTTCAAGGGATTCGCAACATGACCATGAACATGCTGGAAGGTAAGCGTACTGGCACATGCACGAACACATTGTTTAAGACTGTCTAGCAGAATCTTGGTATTGCAGAGAGCTCCTCTGACGTATCCTGCCTGATACACTCTGTATACGTCCATGTTATCCGTGAGCATGCAGAGAGGCAAAGCGCTGTGAGGGAACTGCATGACCCATGCCATAGCCCAAATGGCGGCTTCCAACTCGGCCCTCAGTGGTGTGAGTGAATCATTCGCTTCCCAATCTGGAAGCGGGCCTGCAAGGTAGCCGAGCAAAGTGACACCTAATACAGATACTGCCATGATGCACAGTGCCCAAGCTGGCCCGCACACCTGTCCGTTGTATTTGTATCCTCCTGCGGTCGCGTCTGTGTAGATTTCCAGCCGAGTAAACCTCAAGTTGGGATCGAACTGGATGAGACCTGGAAACGCCTGAGCGGAGGATGAGTGCCAGTAGGGGGCCCACGATAGGAGGTCCCTAGACGGCTGAACGGGCCACCTGCGCTCCATGAGATCCTGGGTGGGTCGGAGATCGGGTATGGGCGACCTCCTGACTCCTCTGGCGGTCCCCTTAGCAGCCTGCGTAGTTAACTTAATGTTTGAGTTGGGCAAACCATGCTCACTTGGTGAGCGGTCCTCCGTTGTGTTGTCTGGAGTCGGAATCTGAACACCGGCTGGCTGCTGCGAGGAGGCAGAGGGGGGGACCTGAGCGAGCCTGCCAGAATATTCTGCTGAGCGCCAAACGCGCTCAGCTGGTGTTAATGCGGTGTGGGCGGACTGGAGGCTACGCGAAAAACTGACTGCTGGCCTGATGGGCTGCCAGCTCCGCTCAGCGCTGCCATGTCCGTTTCATCTTCTCCTGCTGCCATCTCATGTGGTTCGTCAGGTCGTGTATGCATGGAGTCCCTGGCCACCTCCTCATTGATCTTGACTTGCTTGGGTGGTGCCTGACCCGTGGGGCGCCTGGGTGAGGTAGACCTGTGTCTTCCTGCCTCGGCTCCCTGGGCGAAGGCACCCTCTAGCCGTCGACGTCCTTCTGTTCGTGCGTCTGGTGGAATCGACTTGTCCTTGTCCTTTCTTGGAGTGGGGGTAGGTGATGCCGTTGATGCCTGTACTTGCAGTGCCTGTATTTGTCGCTGAAATTATTCTCGATCTGTCTTGCTGTTGATGCTGACGTCCGTGAGCTGCTTCTGGATGGTATTCATGGCCGTTTTGAACTCAAGTAGTTGCGCCATGAGTGCCTGCTGCGAGTGCTGCATGCTCGCCAACAAACCAGGGGTGGAAAAATCCGTCTTCGAATCCGCTGAGCCCGAGCACGATGTAGCTCCAGGCGGAGTCCGAGTGGTAGGCGTACTTGGAGAGCGTGTGCCAGCTGGTGTGCTCGGAGAGCGCGTGGTAGCTGGCCACTTAGTGCGTGACCTTGATGTTCCTCCTGCTGGTGCAAGAGGGGCTCTGTCGGAATCTTCCTCCTCATCTTCGTCCATGTAGTCTGCTGCTCGAGGCTTACGCGCGTGCGACATGTGGTTGCGCGCCTCGGCCTGCTTGCGCTCACTGTCCTGCTTCTCCTTATCCTCAATGTCCTGGAAATGTTCGAGAAGGTCTTCAGCGTGTGCCACTTCTTCATGTAGTGCGTGAACCTGCGCAACGCATGAGTCAAGATAGATTTGTGCCTCTACTTGCATCTGTGTGGCCTCCGTCAGCCTGCGCTTTGCTCTGTTGACAAAGCTGAGCTGCTTGGCTGTGCGTGCGGAGGCTGTGCGCGAGTACATGAGCTGGTACAATACCACGGCATACTCGTGTCGTAGAGCCTGCACTTGTGATGCTTCCATCTTGAGCTCTTGGGAACATTTGATCTGCCTCTCTAGGCCCTCCAACGTGGAGCCTAGGGCCTTCCTGTACTCACCTAGCTCCTGCGGGCTCTCCGGGGGCTCTTGCCAACGCCTGTGGGCGCGGGCCTCCTCTGGCGAGCATGGCATGATGTTCATGGTCTCTTCCTCCTCCGCGTTGTTGCAATGCGCTGGGCGGCGCGAGCTGGAGCGTCTCCATGGCGGGGAGGCTGTAGGTAGATCGGCGGCTGGCTTGGCCGCTGGCTGGTTCGGGTGGCACTTCTCACACTTGGCAATTTCCCACTTGTTGTGATGATTGCAGGCAGGGCACTCCCACAGGTACCGATGCTGTCCATGCTGGTGCCCTTGCCACTGCTGCCTTCGTCGTGTGATGGCTGTCTCGAGCGCGCTGATGACTGACTGCGCTGAGTTCTCCGCGTCATGCTGCTGCGATGCTGGGACAAGAGGTCTGATGCGGCTGCTATCTTCAGCAGAGTCCTGGCTCTGCTTCTCTCTGCCCTGGCTCGACGATGCCAAGCTGGTTCACCGTGTGCTTCACGGCTGGCCCTCCTGCCGCGCGCCGTGGCTGCGGGGGCGCGCTAGGGGGCGGGCGCGTATCGCAGCTGTCCCGTGAGAGAAGTTTCGCCGTGCCTGGCCACGGGCCGGGACGGCGGCTGGGGAGGAGTGGAGGGAGGAGGGGGGCGGGAGGAAGAGGAGGGAGGAGTGGAGAGGGGGATCGAGTAGGAGGGGGGAGGGGGGAGAGGAGAGCGGAGGAGAGAGGAGGATCGAGCAGGAGCGAGAGGAGGGAGGAGGGAGTGCACCCATCCCCCCCCGTGCCGAGGTGGCCCGCGCCCGGGCGGCGCTGCCGAAGGCGTTCACGAGCAGGCAGGCCGCGGCTCCCTCGGGCCGCAGGGGGGGCAAGGGGGGGGGGGGGGGGGGCACCGCGCATGTGGACTGCGTGGTGCAGGGGGGTCGCGTGGTGCAGTCGGGGAAGTTGTTTTGAAGCGGGGAACGAAGAATGGCATAAACATAAAAGCTCGGAGCTCCGCGCGGATTTCTGGGATCCGCGCTGGACCCCCCTAGCGGGGCCTCCGGCGCCGCCCCTGGCGCGCTCCGCGCGCCAGGGAGGGGGGCCCAGCGCCGATCCGAGAAATCCGCGCGGACCTCCGAGTTTCATGTTTATGTCATTCTTCGTTCCCGTATTCTAGTCGAGCATCTGATTGAGAAGCCTCCTTCCGAGAAGCTGGGCCAGCGTTTCTTAACCAACTTGCCGGGGCGCTGGCCCAGTTTCTTGAGCACGTTCGCTCCTCGAGCGCTCGCACCAGAGATTGGCCCAGGCTTTTTCTAATAATCTTCTGACAAGCTGACCCAGATTTCTTGACTGATTCGGGGGTGGCCAAGGCGGGGTGATGGCAAGGGGGGGATATTTTGGCTGGGGCATGATATTCCCTAGATTTCATGGCGCCGCTTCTGATTCCAGAACGGCCCCAGCCACCCTCTGGGCCGCGCACATGCCGTCGGCCATGATTTGCGCCCCCCCCTCTTGGACGCCCCCCTCTTGGCCGCCCCCGACTGATCAATTCATCGATTACATAAGTCAGCGGGCGCAAGGGAGTCGAAGCTGGTGCAGGCGCCGGTCGGGCTACGGGCGGGACATGCCGGGAACTAATTGAGGCATAGTGGAGGGGACGCTGGAAAGGCGAAGAGGCGGGATCCGCTCAGAACAGGCAGTCCGTCGTGAGCGTGCCGAGGGAGTGCAGTCGGGGAACAAGCAATGGCATAAACACAAACTTCCGGACCTCCGCGCGGGTTCCTCGGATCGGCGCTGCGGCCCCCTGGCGACGCCCCTGGCGCTGCCCCTGGCGCGCTCCGCGCGCCGTCCAGCGCGTATCCGAGAAATCCGCGCGGACCTCAGAGTTTTTGAGCTCAAATCAATGTTGCTCCCTATGTTTGGTACAGGGGGACTGCGTGGTGCAAGTCCGCCCTGTCCAACCACGCTGGAAGGCTTCTGGGCCAGCGCAACAGTCAGGAGGAAAAAAACACACAGACACAATTAATCGTCGATTCCCCAGAAAATATGGGAAAAGATTGGGAATCTTTTTATCTGTGTGCATTTATTTGTGTGTCCCAGGGCCCCTTCAAACAGGGCGGCGGGTGGCACACCGACGGGGTGCCCTGGAGGACTGCCCCTTGCGGCCTGCGGCCCGCCGAATTGGTGCGCGCGCGGGCACGCGCGGGGCACCCGGCAACGCTCCGGTAGCCCCCACAACGCGGCCGCCCTCCGGTGTGGGCGCGCACCCCGGAGCACCCAACGGGCAGCAGGCACCCAACAGTTTTTTTTGCGCGGGTCGAGAGCGCACCTCTTCCGGTCGAAGCGAAGCGGGCCGCGCGAAGCTTGAATTAACAAAGAGGGGGGTCACCCAACAGGCACCCAACAGGCACCCGTGGGGATCGAGGCCCAAGATTCCCAGGCAGCTGGCGATATGACGTTCTCAGTCGCGGCGGTTCTCTTCGACTTCGGCCTCCGGGTCCCGCGACCATCAGCCAGAAATGGATCGGGGGCAGAAGACCGGTCCCGGGGAGAGGGTCGAGACTGCTGGAACCGCGCGTTGAACAACAACAGTATATACACACACAACACACACACATATATATATATATATATATATATATATGTATATATGTATATGTGTATATATATATATATATATATATATATATCCCGGGGCACGACGCCCTGGCGCCCGGGGCCGCCCGGGGCCGGTGCCTCGACAGGGCATGGGAGTACCGGGCGTCGTTTTTCATATGTTTTTACGGGGTTTCGGCGTCCCGGGGCCAACAGGGCCCCACGAGGCTGCAGGGAGGCCGCAGCGATGGCTCCAGACGCTTTTCAAGACGACTCCCATGACGCCAGGAAGTCCCCCGAAGGCCCCGACGACGCCCCAAGAGGCACACCGAGAGAGCCGAATACGCAAAAATCGCAGATTTCCTATGGGAAAACTGATACTTTTGGCGTGTTTGCCTTTTGGGCGTGCAGTGCGTCCAAGACGGCCCAAGAGGCACCCAAGCCGGTCGAGGATGCCCCCGAGAGGGCCCCAAGACGGTCCACGAGGGGGCCAAGACGGCCCACGAGGCGCCCAAACCGCCCAAGAACACCCCAAGGCTGCGCCCAAGACGGGGACGAGGAACCGGAAATTCGAGCCTTTTGGCCCAAGAGACCCCCAGGAGGCCCCAAGACGCTCCAAGAAGGGGCCCAGGAGCCCCAAGCGGCACCCATGAGACCCGAGCAAAACAGCAAAAGAGGCTCCGAAGACGCCCCAAGAGGCACCCCGAGAGTGGCCCAATAAGCAAAAATCGTCGATTTCCTATTGGGAAAACTGATATTTTTGGCGTGTTTGCCTTGTGGGCGTCCACTGCATCCAAGACGGCCCAAGAGGCACCCAAGGCGGTCGAAGATGCCCCCAAGAGGGCCCCAAGACGGCCCACGAGGAGGCCAAGACGGCCCACGAGACGCCTAAACCGCCCAAGAACGCCCCAAGGCGGCGCCCAAGACGGGGACGAGGAACCGGAAATTCGAGCATTTTGGCCCAAGAGACCCTAGGAGACCCCAAGACGTTCCAAGAAGGGGCCCAGAAGCCCCAAGAGGCACCCGTGAGACCCGAAAAAACAGCAAAAGAGGCTCCGAAGACACCCCAAGAAGCACCCCGAGAGTGGCCCAATAAGCAAAAATCGTCGATTTCCTATGGGGAAACTGATATTTTTGGCGTGTTTGCCTTGTGGGCGTCCACTGCCTCCAAGACGGCCCAAGAGGCACCCGAGGCGGTCGAAGATGCCCCCAAGAGGGCCCCAAGACGGCCCACGAGGGGGCCAAGACGGCCCACGAGACGCCTAAACCGCCCAAGAACGCCCCCCAGGAGCCCAAGAGGCCTTTCCGGGGAGCCTCCACAGCGCCCCAGGAGGGCCCAAGACGCCTCCCAGGAGCACCCAGAATGCGAAAAGATGGTCCAAGACGTTCCCAAGCAGCCCAAGTCAGCCTTCGGACGGCTCTCGAGGCTCCCAGGTGGCCTCCAAGAGGCCCAAAGAGAGGTCCGAGAGGCGTCCCGAGACGGCCCGAAGAGGCCCAAATCGTCGATTTCCATTTGTTTTTGCAATGTTTTTGGCTTCTCGCGTTTTCGAGCTTCCAATGGTCCAAGAGCGCCGAAGAGGCTCCCAAGACCGCCCCAAGACCACCCATGAGACCCTCAGGACGGCCCCAAGACGAGCCAAGAAGGCTCCAAGACTGCCGAAGAGGCGCCCAGGACAGCCCCAGACTACCGCAGAACAGGCCCAAAATGGGCCCAAGAGCGGGAGCAGGAGGCTTCCAGCGACCTCCGAGAGGCCTCTGGGACCCCCCAGAGGCTCCCAACACACCCCCGATCCCTGAGAGGCCCCAAAAAGACCCCGACGAGGCCCCACACAGCCCAAGAGAGCTGCGAGAGCCGTCCCGAGAGAGGCCAAAGAGGGTAAAATCGTTGATTTCCCATTTCTTTTTAATTTTGTTTCGCCTTCTGACGTTTTCCCGCTTCCAACCCTCGAAGATTGATTCCGCTGGACCCACCAGCAGCCTCCGAAAGTGGCGACACTTTTGCAGATCGCAGCTCCCCAGGGACAGCGAGGTCCCGCTCAGATCTGCGCGGTGCTTCACTCCGCAGGACCCACCGGCAGCCCTCGAAAGTGGCGACGGTGTCGCAGATCGCAGCCCCCCAGGGACAGCGAGGTTTCGCTCAGATCTGCGCGGTGCCTCGGTCCGCAGGACCCACCAGCAGCCCTCGAAAGTGGCGACAGTGTCGCAGATCGCAGTCCTCCCAGAAACGGTGAGGTCTCGCTCAGGTCCCCGCGGTGCCTCAGTCCGCAGGACCCACCAGCACCCCTCGAAAGAGGCGACAGTTTCGCAGATCGCAGCCCCCCAGGGACGGCGAGGTCTCGCTCAGATCTGCGCGGTGCCTCACTCCGCAGGACCCACCAGCACCCCTCGAAAGAGGCGACAGTTTCGCAGATCGCAGCCCCCCAGGGACGGCGAGGTCTCGCTCAGATCTGCGCGGTGCCTCACTCCGCAGGACCCACCAGCAGCCCTCGAAAGTGGCGACAGTTTCGCAGATCGCAGCCCCCCAATAACGGCGAGGCCTCGCTCAGATCTGCGCGGTGCTTCACTCCGCAGGACCCACCATCAGCCTTCGAAAGTGGCGACAGTTTCGCAGATCGCAGCCCCCAGGGACGGCGAGGTCTCGCTCAGATCTGCGCGGTGCCTCACTCCGCAGGACCCACCAGCAGCCCTCGAAAGTGGCGACGGTGTCGCAGATCGCAGCCCCCCAGGGACGGCGAGGTCTCGCTCAGATCTGCGCGGTGCCTCACTCCGCAGGACCCACCAGCAGCCCTCGAAAGAGGCGACAGTTTCGCAGATCGCAGCCCCCCAGGGACGGCGAGGTCTCGCTCAGATCTGCGCGGTGCCTCTTCCGCAGGACCCACCATCAGCCCTCGAAAGTGGCGACAATTTCGCAGATCGCAGCCCCCCAGGGACGGCGAGGCCTCGCTCAGATCTGCGCAGTGCCTCACTCCGCAGGACCTACCAGCAGCCCTCGAAAGTGGCGACAGTGTCGCAGATCGCAGCCCCCATCGTCGGCGAAGAGAGGGCAGCCTCAGGAGGAGGCGGGAGGCGGGAGGAGGAGGAGGAGGAGGAGGGACGCGACCACAGTGCTCTATTCAAAACGAATACCCAACCAAGGAGGGTTGGGAAAAAGGAATTCCCAGAATTCCCGTTTTGCGAAGGGGGACTCCGACTCGGAGATCCCCCACATCCCCTGACATCTGGCCAGTACCGCGTCTCCCTCCTTCCGGGGGGGCCCCCA